TTGATGATGATGGCGATACTCGTGCTGATACTTCTGCTGATGATGATGTTGATGATGCTGATGCTGATGATCATGCTGATGATGATGGTGTTGTGATGTCGATGAGGATGCTGCTTATGGTGATGACGGTGATGCTGCTGATGATGCTGATAATGAGTATATCCTTTGCGTGCATGTCTTTCCCCATCGGTCTAGAGGTCAGGCCGTCGATGCTAATCGCTTCCGTGGGTTTTTGGGCTCAAGAATTCGCATCCAGGCAGTGCGAATGGATTTCCTCTGGCCCGCAGCCCAATACGCGTGGCAGGGGGCTCTTGCATATCTCTGGGGCGGCAATTTGCAGCGCTGCCCTTCGATCACGATCCCGGCGTGTCCGGGGTTCCCTGGGTGTGCGGCCTGCCCGCCGTGCCCAGGCTGCCCGGCGTGCCCGGGAGGACGGCCGGCGCCTGCCAACCCGGCGCCGCCGGCAGAGCAGGAGGCCGGGGCCGACATCGCGGCGTCCTCCTTCTGGCTGGTCGTGCTGGTGAACGAGCTGCTGTTCCTGGGCCTCATTGGCTGGTACGTGTACGTCTGGTGGGGCGGCGCGTGGCTGACCTGCAAGCGTCGTCATGATGGCGGCGGCGATCGTGGCCCCAGCAGTGGCGGCAGCGCCGGAGATGCAGCAATGGGCTTGGGTTCGCTACGACGGCGAGCCATTGTGGCACCAGCGGCTGATCTTGGGGCGTCGGGCGAGAGTTCCAGCTGAGGTCGGGTCACCGCACGTTGTGCTGATCTGCACCGTGGACACCGACATCTACGAGGAGGACTACGCGTGCGACGGCAGCGACATCATTGCCGTGCGCTACGCCAGCACGCGGGCGTCCTTCCCGCCAGGGATTCGAGGTGCGAACTCACACCGCTTCAGGCGGGACTTGACGCAGCAAGAGCAGCAGCAGATCGACCAGGCGGCCGTGGACTACTGCAGGGCGGCGCTGGCGGCCGACCACCATCGTCTTGGGCTGGGAGCGCCGGCGGGGCCTTTCCTCATCCCACTGACCTTCGGTCAGGGCGGCCCTGCCGCCCTGGCGGAGGCAGGTGATGTGGCGGCGGTGGTGGCCCCAGGGGCGCAGGCTGCTGCTCTGGTCGCCGCTGGAGGGGTACCTGGTGCTGCCGTCGGAGGAGCGGGTGGAGCTGGCGCAGGTGCTGCTGGCGGAGCTGCCGCTCCTGCGGGGGCAGGCATGGCCGCCGCCGCCATGTGGGTGCTGGTCGAGTCGACGACGGCTGGCGCGCGCGGGACTGCCGTGGCCCCGCCCGCTGGCTCGGTGCTGCGAGGGTCCGTCGGGCTCATGCCGCTGGCCGACGGCTCCTGGGTGACGATCCGCTCGATCTCAGGATCGGCCCAGGAGTACGCTGGGCGAGAGGCCGCGTCGGACGCCCGTCTGATGGGGATCCTGCCGAACCCTGCGGTCCCAGGCGGGAGGCTGCTGCGGCAGTGGCGCGACGCCGTCGCCAGCTTCACCGAGGAGGCCTTCGTGGACTGGCACATCCCCGGTCCGCGGACCTGCTTGTGGTGCTGCAAGTTCATCGACCGTCGGCAGGGAGGGCCGCTGGACCATTTCAGGTTCTGGAAGGCGACCCTCGGGCTGGCGGCCGACGACTACGGCGTGAATGACTACGAGGCCGGGATGCGCGCGATCTACACGATGGCGTGCTGGGACGGCCTCGACCTGCCGAACATCGCGGGCGCCGAGCAGATCCTTCGGAAGTGTCAGATGTACGAGTACGTCTACGTGATGGACCGGGACCCGCACCACGGTGGCCATGGCGTCGGGGACGGCGGCGAGGCCAACGAGAACAAGAAGACTGGCAAGAAGGGTCGTGGTCGGGGGAGCGGCAGTCACAGCTTGCTGAGTTTCGGTTTCATCGACGAGAGCGCTGTCTTCACCGGTCTCAGCCGAGACCACGGGGAGAGCATGATCTGTCCCTTGCTCTTGGAGCACGTGGCGAAGGAGGTGGAGAGGGACGCTTCGGTGTTGAAGCAAGTACGCAAGGCCCGCGAGGAGCAGCGGGCCTTGCGAAAATGACGGGCGTACTACCACGCGGGCCGCTTCCCCCCGGCGGTCCGCGCGTTTCTGGAGGGGGGCCCAGCGGTGGTGGCCCGCCACTCGCTGGTGATGAGCACTTCAAGGGCATGCCTTGTGGGCGCCAACGTGATCTATTTCCACTGCCACGTCCTGATCAACAGCGTCAGGTCCGTTCAGAGGCGAACAGCTTCGCTTGCACACGTTCTGTGGCCCGTCGTGGTCTTCGTCGGGGTCATGCCGATGCCATGGTGAGTGAGGTGGTGAATGCCCTCAACGAGCTGTACGTCGGCCAGCCCTGTAGCCACGGCGACCACTCGCAGCCTGTCTCTGCGGGTCAGCAGCGGGCCTTGGACAACGTTCGAGACGCTGTCCGACGGTTCGGTAAGCCCCCGGAGGGATTGACTGGCTCAGGAGCCCTTGAGGAGCTTCGAGTTCTCAGC